CTAAGTTTTCTGTAAAGGAAGAAAAGACTTGACCCAAGGAGGGGGGTTATTAACTAAATCTCCCCAGACCACTATGTATGATATTTGATCCAAGTGTCCCACACGTGGTTGAAGAATAATTTTCTCAACCATGTTAATGACAGTGGGATCAAAGATTCCCTCCGAGTCAAAGTGGGCCATTCAGACCTGCAGAAAGTAATTAGTTTATCCTTCCTGACAACAACAGAGAGGTTATGGGCTCGAGTCTTAACCTCTCCAAAATGTGCAAGAACCAGGTCCAGGGGTGTAGAAGGAGTCTGTCCTATTGTGTCCATCTCAGTGCCAGAGAAATAGACAACCAAAGACAAAACAGAGAGCCAGAAAGACACACAGAAGGCCAAGTACCAAATCCCCTCCCCCTCATGCGGAAGAAAAACTGAAAGTAGGACAGCTGCGAACTGCCATGCTGCGAGAGCGACCCGCCTTGTCCTTTCACAGGAATCAACAGAGTCCGGGACCCTCCGTCCCCTCTGCCGAGGTCTGGAACATCTTCCAGACCTCTGTGGTCACGCTCATCTAGTGCGTCCACTCCAACCATTCCTGACCACACTGTTCACAAGTTTGCCTCGAGGCTCGAAACAAAAGCTGGGACAGAAACAGACAGGCACAACTAGAAACAAACAGACACCAGCCGGCCAAGAACCTTCCGGTTCTGGAGTCCTGGGGGTCTTGGGGATCCCAGAGGAGCCCCCAAGATGTTGTCCCCAGTTCGCAAGTCTCCAAAGACCACCAAGGAGCCGACCGATGCAAACACACAAGGGTTCTTTTATTGTTGCAAGCTTAAGCTTGGGTCTACTCTGTCACCGACTCAGCGGATCTCAGATGTGAGACCCCTTGCTTTGGGAGACAGAGGTTTTTATAGGTTTATTTCAGCAAGTTCAGCAAGTAGGGGAGTAGGGGGTCTCCAGCCTGGCAAGATCTGATTGGTTGCAGCTCAGTGCCAAACTGTAAACTGCTGGCTTCAGGAAATCTGAAAAGATATCTGGACTTTTAGTACTTTCCTGTCCCTGGTTAATTGACCGTTGGCAGGAGAGTTGTTCTCTATCCGTTCCAAGTATTGTGGGTTTTCTTCGAACAGGACCCAGGCTGGGTCAGTCCTATGGCGGTTTTATCCAAGATGGAGTCACTCAGGTCTCTCAATGCTAGTTCCCTAAGTCTTACTATCTCTCTGTTCTATCAACAGGGAAGTGCCCTAGGTCACAAAGTCAGTAAGTGGCAGAGCCAGTTTCCCTGACTTTAAGGTTCTTATCTTTCCATTAAACTGCAGTATCTAGCATGACACTTGACTGTAGGTGTTCTGAAGCACCTGAGCCAAGCACAGAAACTCTCTGGGCCAAGCACATGGCAAAGATGCATAGCCAAGGGTGTGGCACTCCAGTTCTCAGAGGGTGGCAATCTGATAAAACATCAACTCCTAAGCTAAGACTTGTAACAGCATCCTCAGGCAGGAGAGTTCATCATCAGCCCTCCAGGAGCCTCTTTAGGCATTTCTTTCCTGATCACCCCTCCTCCAGTTACATTTTAATACCACAGAGAGATTCTAATTTGCTTATGGGCTGTGGCCTTTTGGAAGAACAAAACCCACTGTAATATCTAAGGATTTTTTTTTTTAATTTCAAGAACTACTCTCGCCCCCTTGAAGACTCCCTTATCCCCACTGAGAATGCATCATCTAGTTGAGAAGACCAGAGCCCAGGGAAACCAACAAAAAGATGGAGGCCAGGGCATTGGAAAGTACCAAAGTAACCCCTACTGAGATCCTGCCCAACTTTCCATATTTCCCAGACATTTGATTGAGAGAAAACAGAGGCAAGAGAGAGGAGAGGAGCTGGGAGCTAGCATCCTATTGTTTTAGTGGTTGCTGTAGGAGCCACTGAAATATGAGCTTCTCGGCTGGGGAGATGGCTCGGTAGATAAAGCTCTTGCCACAAAGCATGTGTTCGGATCCCCTGAACAATGAAAAGCTGGAAGTGCTAGCACATGTCTGTAATCCCAGCACACCCACCACGAGAGGAAAAGCTCAGAGGAGAATCCCGGGAGGCTCAAGGGCCAGCTAGCCTGGTGTTCACAGTGGCGAACAAAACACAAGGTGGAAAGCAAGAGCCCAAGGTTGTCTTCTGACCCTCACATGTGCTTTGGCTCATGCACTCCCCTCACCCTCATGTATACACACACACACACACACACACACACACACACACACTCACACACACATATGAAAGAAACGGGGAATGAACTTCTTCAAATACTGTTTCAGCAACAGTTTTTGTAGAGATTGGGAATTTGTGGGTGCAGGCTTCAGTTCTCGAAGTGAAAGGCTGGTAAGTGACGTATCTTCAGGTAGTGTGATGATTTCAAGGTTTACGAAGAGAAGATGGAATTTTTCAGAGGTTTGAAGGTTTCAGATCAAGTTTCCTTTCTCAGCCCCATCACCACCTGGGTTCATGGCCAGCACTGTAGTTTCACAGAGTCTACTGTACATAGACGAGAGCAAGCCTCATTTACCCTGTGCCAGGCAGACATTGTACTGAACACTTAGCACAGTACTGTTGGGCTGTTTTAACTTTCACAACAATCTTACCAGGTGTGAATGATCACTGCCCAAAGCTAGTAGGTTAGCAGTCTTGCTCAGATCACACAGTTGACAATTGGAAGTGCCAGGCCTTGAACCCAGTAGGCTGCCTTCAGAGCCCAGGTGCTTAACCAACATGCTATACTAATTTGACTAAGTTGATTCAGTGTCTCTTATAAGATAGTTGTGCTGGTAAAATATAATATTCCATTAATGTATTTGGCACAAATCCACTAAACTTTTCCAGAGATATTTCTCTGGTCGAAGGTCTGGGTCTTTACTCTCATTCCAGAAATAGAACTTTAATACACCCTGTCACACCTATGCTTTGAATGCTATACAGGCTCCTCTGGTGACCCTTGTCACAAAGTCCAGCTCTGTATCGGCCCAGTAAGTCTCTCCATGGCCTGCATGCTTTTATGGTCAGCCTGGTCCTTGTCACCATTCAAAATCTGCTGCTCACAATCTGCTCCATCCACAGATGGGCCTTCACTAAACTCAGCCTCTGTCCTTCTGGGCTTTGGCACATGCTGTCCCCTCTTCCCAGAAACTTCCCTTCTCTTTACCTCCTTTTCAGGGGACTGCAATCCTGCTCATCTCTCTGGTCTCTACTCAGATATCACTTCCTGTGTAGAGTCCCCCAAATGACTACAACAGGAGTAATGACGTCACAGGACACTGTGCTAGTCAGGTGGCCCATGGGGTATATCTTCCAGTAGTAAAGGGCATCAAATTGATCAGAACTGAGACAGGCAGCTGCATGGTGAGCAACTCTGAAACAGTTGTTAAGCCCTGCTAGGCTGAGCAAATGCCCAAATAATGACCACACAGTCCTGCTGGATCAGGTGGATATAGAGGAGGAAACTGAAACTCAAAGAAGTTAAGCCACTTGCTCAAGGTCCCTCAAGTGGTGAATGGTGGAATATAGTGCTTGAGCCTAAATCTGTGTAAATGCAGAGCCTAGACCTTCTATCTCTGCATAAATTGCCTTGGTCATCATGTGGTGATAACCATTTTTCCGAAAGAATAGAAATTATTTAGTATGGAAAATGAGTGATCAAGGAAAAACATAATCACTAAATTAATTTCAACATTTGAAGGTTGTCACTTTGGAAAGTAACAGGGAAGTTGATGGCTCAACAGAAGGCATTTCTGGAAAGAGTGAAGATGAGCTTCCAGGGGGGAAAAGCTAAGATTCCATCATCTAAGTAGATCTGCCCATGGGAGAGTGAATTGCAGGGCAGGGCTGTGGGACACTGACAAAATGCACAGGAGATATCAGGAGAAGGGATTTTGTGCCTTCTGCCTCCTGGAGGACAAAAGCCATCTAGAAGACAAGCGCTTGGGCACTGTAGTGTCAGCCAACATGCATACAAACAATGACACACAACTGGATGGATGAGGCAGGCATTTCTTGCTGTGCAACTTCTAAAGGAAGGAATTGACTGAATACAGAATTTCAAGCCTCCCTTATAAGCCAAAAAGCCTCTGTGTGCTCCAATTTTATAATTTTGTACAGTTTTAACTCCATCTTTCCACAATCGACATTGTGATCTATGTTCTATGAACTTGAAACACCAAACCTCTCCAGTTTGGGAGTATAGCTAATGCCTCATAGAAATTTCTCCAGCTGTCTTTGTGGGGTAACGTAGGGCACCACCACACCCACTGAATCCCAACCCTCTACTCAGGGATTCTTTAAGACCTGAATCTTTTTCCATCTGCCCCGAAAGATACACAGATCAGATGTAGCACAATAAGCAACCACATAAACCTACCAAACAAAACGAGAGGATTTTCCACTCTTTACAAGGAGTTAAAAATGTCCACCTCCCAGCACAAAACTATAGCTTCTGGCTCAGTGTTAGAAGCTTGAACTTGAAATCTGGGTTGTCACTAGAGACATGGCTCAGCGGTTAAAAACACTGACTGTTCTTGCAGAAGACCTATGTTCAAATCTTAAGACCCACATGGCAGTTAACAACTGTCCATAACTCCAATTCCAGGGGATCCAACAGCTTCTTCTGTCCTCTGTGGGCATTGTACGACATGAGTGCACTTACATACATGCAGGCAATACATGCATACACATAAAATAAAAATAAGTTTAAAAAAGAGTAAAGAAAACTGGGTTGTCTAGTAATCTGAGAGAAACTCCTTTTATTAACAACCTTTCTACCAACTGGACTTCCGCTGAACTCAGTGACAAATTCTTTCTCAATGAAATCTCTTAAGCTGAAAAGCCACAAGAGCTGCATATTGAGGTGCATACCAAGTTCCCAGTCACCTCATGCAGATGGTTACTATTCATAGGTGTTGCCCCACATAGAGGCATCACACACGTGCATATCTCTCATGGGCAGATGCCCACAGGACAGTGGCTACTCACACAGACATATGTCCACGAGGAACACGATGTACACTAGAAGCTCCCGCAGTGTGGTCTTGACATAAAGCTCCCGGTTCTCAGCTATGTTTTCGGTCAGAGTTGTCCCCCAGAGTCCTAAAGGCATTGGGGAGATGCCCAGGGTCACCAACAGCACAGCTTCCCAGTTATCTGCTCCCACCCGACCCTGGACTTCACCCCATCTCCACCAAGCCCTTCCTTGCCTATCCTCTAACCCTCAGTCCTAGCTACTCTGCCCACACCCCTGCCTGCCCTCTTGCAAAGACCTTAGGAAATGAGGTGAGCCCATGGGGATAGGAAGGGTAAAACCTGCTTCAAGGGGGTCTAGAGGCTCCTCACCACAGTCTTCCATGTACCAAGCTCTCCTCTCCTATACCCCCTGGGTCCCCAAGTGATGACAATGCTAGGTGATCTTTCTGACCAACCAGGAGCCTGGTCTCTGTGTCCTGTGGAAACAACTCTAACACAGGCAAATCACGGATACACCAAGATCTCACATCTTCCTCTGGTCACCTTTCTCCCACAAAGCTGTTGAGGCTCCTTCTGACTTTAATACCCCAGAAGAACCCTTCCCTGGCCTGGCACCTATGATGCAAGGACAGATAAGAAAGTAGCAGCTGGGTACCAAAATCCTGGGTTTGGTGTTTGGGTATCTTGGGTTGAAGCTGAAGTGCCAAACTGGAGGCAGTGTAGAGCCTCAGCATCCCATGCGGGGAAGGGGGCTCTTTAAGTAGGGTTGTCCCAGGTTCTGCTCCCCTGTGTTTGCAGGGGACTACCCCTTGGGACTTTCCATAACATTCATGAAGAAGGAGGTGCCCACTCTCATGGGAGAAACAGGGACAAAGGTCAAGCTTGGCATAGGTAGTAGAGGGCCAAAGGAATGGTGTCTTCACCTTGGCCTCTTGTCTAGTGGGAAGTCGAGCCTGCCTGCGTGGGGAAGGGAGCATGGAGGACAGAGGATGGGATGGTCATCTCTCTCTCTCTCTCTCTCTCTCTCTCTCTCTCTCTCTCTCATCCTAGGGCATAAGAGGAAAGAGGAAAGGGCTGTGAGCAACTGAGAACCAGGAGTTTGAAGAGAGAAGGGACAGGGTGAGGATGTTGTGGAGACAGAGAGGAAGGGACAGAAGACAGAGGCAAGTGCTGGGGTCAGATGGAGGCTGGGGAGGGATACACAAACGTCCCACAGTAGAGATGATCAAAGGGCAGTAGATGAGCTAGGGGAGGAGGGGGTTGCAGAACTCTGTGATGGGTCTGAGCTAATATCTACTAAAAGCTCCTGAAAAGGCCAATATGGACTGCAGGAGGGACCTAGGCCAGGGAGGGAGAGGGAGAGGTACTCCTTCCCATTAGATCAGCCAATGGTCTCTCAGGTCCTTCTGTGTGTCTCCTCGAGCTGTCCCCTAGTGAGTGGAGAAGAAGGCTCTTCTGGCTCAACCTATCCTGATGACCAGTAAAAGGGCAGAGGTAGGAGTCATCCCTGTCTCAGATCTTAAGGAACAGGATCTCTGTCCCCATCAAAATATCTAGCTTTAAGTGTCCTTATAAAGAGATACTGGACAACCCAGCTCAGCTCCTTGATGAATCAAATGTGCCTAATTTTAGGACAGGGAAGAAAACAGGACTGTTGAATGGACTGACTGTTATATGAGCCTCCTGCCCCAGGCTCAGACACTGAAATGAGTGACTCTCTCTATGGACTAGAGCTAGAGACTCTCTCGCCCTTCCTAGATAGACAAGCGCTCATCTCTTTGTTGTACCAGTCAATGGGATGCGATTGAAGGTGCCTGTTTTCTGTAGGGGGAAAAAGGGATGAGGAACTTAGCCAGTGTAGAGCTCTTATGTTAGGTCAGCTGAGTGTGGAGGAGAGGGGAATGGCTGCCTCTCACCCATGAGCCTTTTAAATAATTGCACAAGGACTCCTGACTTGCAAAATAGGACCCCAGGACAAGGGTGAGGAACAGGATGTCAACAGAGTTCCTGAGAAGCAAGGGGAGAAATATGAGATGGTTTCTAATTCTCTTTGGGTAATTGTGAATTCTGGAGGAGGCCTGTGATCAGGAGGGGTTTGAATGGATTTGAGAAGGTTCCTCATGTGACAAATCTCTCCATTCTGAGAGCTCCAGGCCACAGCCAACCGCTTTGTTCATGGTCAGCTACCTGGGACCCATCCAGTTGCTTTTTCCTGCTCAGTACAGAGTCCTCTCCTTGTGTGTGGATCAGATCATATAGCCCCATGGGAAGGTTATGCAGCACAGATTGAGAAATCTTTTCAGACCATACCTTTCATTCCTCTGCTGTTTAAACTTACTCAGGCAGTTGCACGTGTGGTAATCAAGTAGCCTCTCATGACAATTTTTGTCCGGTATTTCTCCAAGTTCTCAAGCTTTTATGAGTACTTGACTTTTCCTGTAAAAAAGGGTAAACAGTGTGGATGGAAGGAGGTGGGAAGATCTCAAGTTCAGGCTGTCTCTTGATCATCTAAGCAAAAGTTCAGCCTTGAATGTGAGATTGAAACTCCTGCATTTAACTGTTGGCACAGCAACTCACTAATGGTAGGCTTTGAACAAGTTACTGGTGAGACTAGTTACTACCTGCAAAGTGTTGGTTGACAATAGCTTCCCCAGTGGCCTGAAGGGCTGTTTTAGAGTTAAAATACTAGAATGTGGAAGCTTTATAAACTGTTTTCTCTTAGGCACAGGCCAGATATCTTCCGACGGCACCCATTCCTGTGCAGTCCACTCACACAGGTCATGGTAAGGTCGACACCTTTACCCAGGACTGTGCTAACATTATCTCTGAATGACACAGAGAACTGGCTGTCCATACAGTTCCATCCCACCAGTTGGTATCAGCAGACTGGGATGGTACCTATGGGCTGGAGGGAATTTGGAAGCTTGAATATGATCATATTTGGAAAACAATTATCTGTGACAAGCCAGCAGTCGGTGGTTCTGAGACTTGAGGCTCACTTTGATCCTAGACCCAGAGCTACTCCTCTGCAGCTCAGCAGAACATCATGAGAGTTTCTTCTTAAAAATATTTTATTTATTATTTTCATTTTGTGTGTATGAGTGAATTGCCTGCATGTATAAAAGTGCATCAGCTGGGCATGGTAGCACATGCCTTTAATCCCAGCACTTGGGAAGCAGAGGCAGGTGGATCTCTGTGAGTTCAAGGCCAGCCTGGTCTACATAGTGAGTTCCAGGACAGCTGGGGCTACAGGGAGACCCTGTTTCAAAAAGACCAAAAAAAAAAAAAATTTAAAAAAAAAAAAAAAAAAAAAAAAAAAAAAAAGTGCATCAATGTCATGCAATGCCTGTGGAGGTCAAAAGAGGGTGTCGAATTCCCCTGGAACTGGAGTTACAGACGATTGTTAGCTGCCAGGTGGGTGCTGGGACTTGAACCCCGGTCCTCTGCAGGAGCAGTCAGAGCTCTTAAGCACTGAACCATCTCTCCACCCCCAGAGAGGTTGTTTCTTAGCATCCATGCTGTGTGTTTGCTCATCACCCCTCTACTAATACATCATATCAATGACGACCTCCTTGCAGGTTCCACCTGGGGAGGAATATGGGTGGAATGTGGAAATAAAGTATGGCTGCCACTCAGAGGCTAGACACACAATCTTTTGTGCCTCGTGTGTGTTGCACACGTGTGCATATAATCACGGAGGTCAGAGGTTGACATCAGGTGTCTTTCTTTTTTTTTAATATTTTATTATTTTCATTATTTTATGTGTTTGAGTGTATTGCCTGCCTGTATGTGAGTGCACCCGTGTCGTGCAATGCTGCGGAGGTCAGAAGAGGGCTTCGGATTCCCCTGGAACTGGAGTTAAGGACCGTTCGTAGCCGCCATGTGGGTGCTGGGAATCGAACCCGGGTCCTCTGCAAGAGCAGTCAGTGCTCTTAACCGCTGAGCCATCTCTCCAGCCCCATGGTGTCTTTAAAAGATATTTTGCTTATTATTTTTATTTTATGAGTATGAGTGCATTGCTTGCGTGTACGTACGCACACCCGTGTCATGTGTGCAATGTAGGCAGAGGCCAGAAGAGGGCGTCGGATCCCCTGGAACTGGAGTTAAGAATAGTGGATAGCTGCCAGGGAATCCAACCCAGGTCCTCTGCAAGAGCAGTGTTCTTAACTGCTGATCCATCTCTTCAGCCCCTCCATTTTACATTTCGAGACAGACTCTCGCTGAATCTGGAGCTCACCCTTTCAGCTAAACTGACTGGCCAGAGATCCCCTGGGATCCACCTGTCTCCACTCTCCCCTCCCTCAGAGCTGGGATTACAGTCTTGCCTGACATTTACGCAGATGTTGGAAATCCGAGCTCCGGGCCTCGTGTTTGTACAGCAAGCACTTTATCCACCAAGCCATCTCCTGAGCTCAGTCCTCACATAATCTTTTGGGGAAAGTTTTCATTATCAGATGAAGAAATGGATTCAGAGAGGTAACTTCTGGTGGAATTAAGCTTTAGAACCAGGACTGAGATAGAGAAAAATCTCCACTCCAGCTGAATCACAACAGAAAGACTATTAAGGTGCGTTGCCTGCCTATGGCCACCAGGTGGCAAGAGGACTCTGGTCCCACATCTGTCCCCACAGAGGCTCGCCTCTCCTGAAAGAAAAATCATACAAACCAGTTTAGAGGGCTGTGAGGTCAGAGGCCTCAGTCCACACCATCTCTTTCCCCCAGTTCTTTCCCATTTCCTTCCTCTTTCCTGTGGGTAGCTGAAAGCTCTAACCTCCAGGGACTGGTCATTCTAGATACCCAGAAGCTCCCTGTGTGGGGCTGTGTCCTCTGAGAAGCAGACACAGAGAGAAACTGCACTAATGAGCAAGGCTTTCAATGAGGAGAAAGCATGAGGTTGGGCTGGGTTCATAAGGGCCATCAGCCCTGATGCTCAGGTCTGTCCCTGAGTGAGGGAGATGGGGAGGGAGGTTGGTGAATGACTGTGGTACAGTTGATAGGACTTTCAGGAAATCAAAATGGGCTATCAGAGGAGTTCTGCGGATTCCAGGGCTGGGCTTTCTACCCTTCCTGACTGGGGCCAGGAGCTGTCACAGGAAGTGTGGCCCCAGGTGAACACCTTGGTCAGTGACTCCCTGTAGTTAGAGGTCTGTGATACCTTCCTCCTGTGGCTGTCACACTTTCTTTGGAGAAGAGGCAGCCTCAGCCTTTGAATGTGTCTACCAAGGGCCCTGCCTGCTCCCCACCTAGGAAAGGGGCAGTTCAGTCCTCATCTCTCACTTCCTGTGCTGACCTCACTGCCTTCTCTCACTTCCTCCCCAGCAACCAGAGCATAGGCTCCTCCCACTCCCCCCTGAATGGGACCCTGTTCCTGCTCTCCTGGGCACATCAAGACACACCCTCCAGGTCAGCCTCTCCTGCGCTGCCTTTGACATCTTGTTTATAGTCTATGGGATTATCTGCCTGCTGGCTTCAGCCCTCTGTACAGGCCCAGGCACTAGCCTGCCCTGGCAAGAAGCTGGTTGGCCAGCATCAGGTCCCATCCCCTTCCTGGACACCCTGTTTCTCAGGTCACCTCCTCTGGTACCAGAGTTAGCGATGAGGTCATAGTCCTGGGCAAAGTCAAGCTAGATGGCAGGGCACCACAGTTTTGCCAGGTGGCCCAGAGGGTCAGGTAGCTATTGAACATCAGTAAGAAGATCCTGGCACTCATCTGTGGAAAGCAGAAGTTTGTGAATAGAATGTTAGGGTGTGAGAATGCTGGGTGCCTGGCTTGCCCTGGGGACTATCAAGTCACAAGCCCTTCTGGGCCTCTGTGAGTGCTCTTGAGGGTGGAAACCTTGTGGTAGGGCTGAGGGTCCAGCTGACTCAGGGCTCTGGACTTGGTTCTTCTCCCATTACTGGCTTTCCTTAGCTGAAGCAGCATGAACACAGTCCCTCTGGGCTGCTGCTTGGTAGGTTTTCAACCACAGGCTAATCAGGCCATTGCCTGCAACACTTTTTTCTCTCTAGTCTCCCTGCCAGCCCCTGCTGGGTCTGCCTGTCTGTAAATCCTGAACCCCCTGACAGACTCCCAGTGCTTACCATTCTCACTTCCCCCAAGGAAGTTTACAGATCTCAGGTTATCAGGCTCCTGGGCAGCACAGGGCTATGGATGGGGGTATGTCCCCTGCCTGTTTAATGGGTACATCTTAACTAAATGTGCCCCTCCTCCCTCACATCTTCTGAGTCACACTTTCCTTTCTGAGAACCCCCTGCCCTCCTCCTGCTGCCCAGGAATCAGGGTGCTGTGGTGAACTTTCACCACTTGACATGAAACCTCCCCCTCAGATCTATAAGAAGAAACCCCCCACTCTGCTTCCTGGGCCTGAACTCTCCTTAGAGCCCCCACCATGCTGTTTGTATGTCCACAGAGTTAATGACTCTTTTTTGTTGCTGTTTGTTTGCTTTTGTTTTTTAATTTTTAAGATAGGCTCTCCCTGTAGCCCCAGCTAGCCTGGAATTGGCTATGTAGACTACGGACCTCCCAAGTGCTGGGATTAGAGACATGTGTCACCATACTCCTCTGGCCTAATAATGACTCTTCTAATCTCTTATTCAAAGGTCAGTTTGCCTCAGTATCCCCCTTAAACCGCAAACCTTTCACTGCTTTAACAGAGGACCTGGGAAACCAAGGATTTTGCAAGAGTGAGTCTGGGCCAGATGACATTGCAAACCCATAGTCCCCTTGGGAAGAGAGAAGGGAATAATCCTTGTCTTTGAAAGGGAATCCAGCCAGACCCTGGTAGGGGAGCAGCTGAGACAAGCTTGGAAATCCACCAGGATTACCTTCACTTGTGCCTTGATGTCAAAGGCAAAGTTGAGGACTTGGGAGGGTTTAAGATTTCATTTCTTGAGCAGCAAGAGATGGGAAGGAAAGCAGAGCTGTGCAGGGAGTAGAAGACCCCTATAGCTGGCCTAGGGGGCCTTCCATACTGTCCCTTGCCTAGGGGTCAGGGCCAGAGTTTACAGGGTATCTGAAACCTAGAGTGGGTTCTTGGGACCGTGTGTGTGTGTGTGTGTCGGGGGGGGGGGGGACTGAGAGAAGCAGGACTCAGTGAGGCTCCTTCAAGCCGTACTTAGCAGGTCTGTTCTGTGGTTGGAAAGAATTATGTACCAAGCAAAACATGCAAAGTCCTTGCATATATCTAGTCAGTGTTAAGTTCTGGCACCTTTGCACCATGGCATTCCCCATGCCAGGAACTTTTCTGAGCCTTGTAAAGCAGGAGTAAGGTGTAAGTGACCATTACTAGATGCTCAGAGCACCTAGCACCGTGCACATAAGAAGAAACTGAAAAATACAGCTCCATCACTCTATCTCAAGCCCATTCTCTTCTCCTGCCTGATTCTAGGGTTTCCTCTGCTGAGAAGATCCAGCTCTCCCTTCCCTGCATTTCTACC